GTTCCACAAGTACAATAAAGTTTAAAGCATTATAAGACAGCTTGTGCTACCCTGTGCTGGTGCTGTCCTCTGCAAATGCTCCCCACCCCATATTCAGTCCTGGGCACCAGCTGCTTGCTGCTACTAGCTGCTGTTCTCTGTAAACTCCCCCCCCTCTGTAAACTCCCCCCGACAGCTGGTGCCCAAGGCTGAATAGGGGCCTGACCCCAAGGCCCAGCGTCGGACTCTATAAGCCCTGGGCACCAGCTGCTTGCTGCTGTCCTCTGCAAACACTCCCCCAGTGGGCCCACACCAAGCAGCTGGTGCCCAAGGCTGAATAGGCACCCAATGCTGGGCACCAGCATTTGGCCCCTAGTCAACCTTGGGCGCCAACTGCGGTCTTCTGCAAACACTACCCCCCACCCGCGTCTGACACCAAGCTGCTGTTCCCCCAGACATCTGCTTACTTTTCCACTCCAGGACCAGCAACACTGCTCCACTCCCACCATGCTCTCAGTGCCGACTCCCCAAGCTCCGCCCCCCCCAAAAAAACACAGTATCAGGGGGCCGGACCATACCAAGTTCTGTACTTTACACTGCAGCGGACCCTGTAAGCCACTCATGGGCACCTTGCGATCCCCGCTTAGGATTTTGCTGATCCTTAAAAGATCAACAAACCATCTAAATTCAGCAAGTTCATTCAGTGGCCTAAAAACCGTAAACACTGCACACTTGACTAGGCTCATTTTAAGCTAGACCTATACACAAATCCTTCTCTGCACATACCTGGTAGATGCTGTTAGGATTGCTTACTGTAGGAATAGACTTTGGCTCTTTAATAGTGATCTCTTCATCAGAGGATGTGCCAGAATGGTAATCTGAAGTGGCTTTTTCCACAGCTGTGCTGATTCGTTTAGACACATTAAAGTCTTCCTTCCCCATAAAGCTAGCTATTGTAAACGGATTATTTTTCTCTCCATATCTGAAAAAAAAAATGCAATACCAAGGGGCAAGATTATATTGCAGTCACCTCAAAAGATCAGCAAAGGTCTCCCAGCAGTTCATTAGAGCCAAGCTGACAACTGTAGCACCCCATAGGCCTATGGTGGACCCCCAAAGGCAGGGAGGGCTGACATTTCACTCAGGGGTGGAACCTTAGCTGGGTTGTGAACAGTAAATTGGGTGCCAGTCACTTTAAAAGGACTTTTAAATGCCTAATTATAGAACAGCCAAAACTGGGCATCTGGCTACAGACATCCATGGGGGCGATGACACTGTAGTAAGGCAACGGCTAAAGGAGGATAAGCAGGAGATCTTCCCTGGGAGAGACCAGATTTATTCCTGAAGTCCATGCCATTCTGGCACCTCCAGCAGTCATAAGGCTCCTCTGGTTCTCCTTCCAAACTACTTCAAGACCGCCCGGGTCCACATGTGGCACTCAATACTCAATTCCTGAGTATTTATGCACTTTCCCAGCATGTACCACTGGCCATGAAAAACATCTGTGAGTGGCTGGTGAGGCATAGACCATCCTAATTAAACAGACTACACATCAGCCAGACTGATTACAGTGGTAACAAAACTAAATTTAGGTAGCCACGTACAGTGGAAGGGGCTACAATACAGTACAACCTGATACATTGTTAAACTGTGCCAAGTACAGAGCCGTATTTTTCACATTCACGGTCCCAGAACAAGTCAAGTGTCTTCATCTATTCACTTATTATGCAGTCTTTATTTTTTTTAAGAAATACATTAAAGATGTAAGCATGTAGTTTAGGCATCTAAACAGTTACAGATCGTATCTCTGAAATTTCTAAATCTAATGCAACCAGTGATTATCTACATTTCCCAACAGCTGTAAGAACTATCTTTGAAAGATTATGGAAACCAACCATTTTCACACCCACATATGGGTCTGAAAATGCTGGGGTAGGAGGGGGAGGAGAAGGGAATATACTTTCCTCATTCTAGGTTTTTGATCATTAGAGTTTGTTACTCATAGGGGATTACTTTGTTTCAGTGTTTGTTCAGTAACAAGATATGCTCTTGTTATTGTAGATTTGCACAGGTTTTATTTACTAAAAGGAATAGAACCATCTGCCTAAAGTTAATTTTTCACAGAACTTGAATAAAATTAGACATTGCTTCCTCATTTACACAAATTTTATGTTAAGTTTATTTTTCCTAGAAAACAACCTGTGGCAGGGGAGTAACTAGAAATCACAGGGCCCCATAGCAAAGTGTTCTATGGGGCCCTGTGATTTCTAGTTATGCCCCTTGCAGAGCCCACCCGATATACCGAACAGCCCACCATAGACTTTCTATGGTGGGCTGGTCACACCCCACCCGTCAGCCTCTTCCACGGTCGCTGGCGGGCCCCACCTCCTCCATCACAGACAGGTTGCCAGTGATCTGAACAGCGGTGCGTTCCACCTTACATCCGCCGGTGACAGCCAGCAGTCTGATGCCATAGTGACCCAGGCAGCCTGCATGGCATCAGGGGGACCCCTTTGTTACTCATCCTGGCCTTCCTGTGCCCCGTAGCGCTGCCTGGGTTGCTATAGTGATAGTTCCACCACTGCTCTGGTGTCCATGGCCAGTTAGATTGTGTTTGTTAAGATTCACTGTTGCATTTGTCCTGATTAGCATGATCACTGAAAGTGGAAGAAAATCCCAAATTTTGGGTTGTCAAAATAGATGGAAAATACTCCATATGGGAACACTTGCTGACCAACAGGATAGATAAAAATTTTATTTTATTTTTTTTAGTAAAAACATGGAGCAAAAAAAGTAATACCTACCTGCAGCAAACCTCAAATGGATCTACCCAGATCGTCATTTCCTTTGGCAGTCCAAGATCGTCATAATCTACATTGCTTTCTGCACACGCTTGTGCCAACACAGAGTCAACAGCCTGACACTTGTTTATTCTTATGCATCTTTAAAAGAGAAGATTATGCAATAGTTCTTAAAATTAAACACATCATACACTAGTTCAGTAAGTAACCAGATTCCTAAATATTGATTTTAATAGTCTTCCTTCACTCATTATGCCAACAAGACAGCCTTGGTGTTTAAAAAAAGCACCACTGGAGACCGTGGCCATTTAGGTTTTCTGAAAATGATAAACCTTTGTGTAATAAATGTTTTTTCAAACATTGAGGGTGGATGGGCTAAAGCAGCGGTTCTCAATTCTATGGAGAAGGTTGAAGAAAACTTTGTGCCATATTATTACAAGGCATCTTCATCATAGAGCTGGGAGGCAGGGCCCCAAGATTCCCAACCCATAGCAATTTAAGGACTGGCTGTTCTTGGTATAGCATCTGCAAATTTATTAGCAACGTCCACTGATAAAATTTATGGAATGGGAAGGATGTAATGGCCATGTATAATCTGACATTTGAAAAATAAAAGCTCAATTAAGCTTACCGAAAAGCTTGTCCTTTGGTTGGATTTTCTGTATACCAATGAGATTTATATCTTGCAAACAGTATAGTTGTCAATTTGGCAGCAAAATGTTCAGTTTTTTGCCTGTTCAGCTTCCTGTGCTTTTTCACAAGCATTGTAATAAAGACAACTGTGGCTGCAATTTCTTCTTTCATGGTGGATAGTCTTAGCGTAGCACAGGATGATGGAAACTGAAAAGAAAATACACACCTGCAGTGATCATAAGACCATGACCAATAGGCAAGAAAACCCATTCATGACTTACATTATTGAGATGCCCAAAATTGTCAGTTGCAGACTGCAGTCTCTTCATTTACTCCAGAAAATACATATGCACACTAAAACCCATAGCATGCTGGATAAGAAGAAGGAGTTTAGGGCCAGAAAGCATAAATCCCATAATAGACAGCATTATGGAACATACCACAACCAATGGCAACAAGTTGTTATTCTATACCCGGTCAATGAAAGGTCAACCAAAATGCTACATACCAACATTATGTTTTATCATGATTTATCATGATTTTATCAGCATGCATTAATAGGTCAACACAAAAAGCCAGATGTTGAGGACAAGGGACATACCATTAGGGAGTTAGTAAATAGAAAGTGTCACCCATGGGAACCAGTAAGACTCTACATTAAACAAAATCAGTCCATGTTAGAACCAGAAAAGACTAAACCCAGCTGTTCCTGGTTACTAGAGGCAACATATCACATTCTAACACTATTCATAAATTAACCCTACAAGAAGAAGCAATCCCCACAGCTTTACAGGATATTTGTTTTACCAGCACAGTACTAATATTAGATACACCAGAGAGGGCAGCTATACCCTACACCTAGCAGCGTATATGGCTAGGGGGGGGGCGGGGGCACACAATCACACAGTTTAAGGTCATTATACTGGGTACAGTTTATGGTTTCCACAAAGCAAGAGGTTTTCCAGCAGAAAAAAAAAGGAAACGCTAAAGCATAAACCACTATCGTCCTAAACCAAACCCTATATCATGCTATTTTAATCCAGCAGCCTGCTCACCTGAATACTCTTACAACACATACATCCCTGCTTGAGGTTTAAATAGCCTGGAGAATTCACTGAGCCTATACAGGTGTCTCTGATACACATGGCTTTTGTTAATTAACTTCAGCACAATCTCTGGATACAGAAAGGAAGCAAATGTACTTTTATTTTTGTCTTCCTGTATCTGTAATGTAATATGATCTATATTATTTTGTATACATTTCATTTAGATTATAAGAAGTAGTGGTACAATTGCAAATTTGGTTGCATGTTTTTGAAAGTGAAATCTCTTTCCTTATACATTCCTGTTAGATTTTTTGTTAGCTTGCACATAATTATTCGTTGTTCTTTTTTTTTTACATCTCTGTTCTTTAGTTATACCTTCCACTGATATGGCATAACCGTTATTCACTATTATACCTGCATTGGGACTAACCTCAGATATGTTCATAATTAGTTTTGTATTGTTTAGGCTGTTACTAACAGGGATGAGCACAGTGGTTTGATTTTGTAGTAAACTGAAAATTTTGCTGAAACACATTCAATTTTTGCTCATTAATCTGCTTAGAAATTTGCATGCACAACGAAAAAATATTTTCCACTATTTATTCAGAGGATGTTTTTGGGGGAATGTATTTAAGGTAATTCAGTTTATTTCATTTCAGATCCATCTAATTCTTTGCAGTGCATTAACAGGCATTATGTTGCACATTAACATGCATTCAGAATACCATTACTATGCTATGCTGTGCGTTGTGGCATGCCACAATGCAAGTGTGTTGCTTAGTGGGTCAGGGTGCCATTTAAAATGAATGTCAACACAATGCAGCAATGCATGTTATGTGTGTTACCATACATGAGTTTAATGCAGAAGTTTAAATGGGCCCTTAGTGTTCTTTGTATTTTATTTATTTTTATTTTATTTTATTTTCCTTTTTATGTGTGTGTGTGTGTGTGTGTGTGTGTGTGTGTGTCTTTGATTATTGTGCACTGTTGCTTTAAATTTCAAAATTTTACTTTTTTTTTTTCTCTGATTTAATAAAAAAAAAAAAGTAAAATATTAAAGCTAAAGAGGGTTTGTTTTTTTGCCACAAGTACAGATCCAGAATAGTTGAAACGGGCTTCTGTAACTCTCAGGAGCCATTTAAAGCCCATTGCACCATTAAAAACCACCAAGCAGCTTAACTTCCCCTTCCCCATTGACTCCAATGCATTTCACTGAAATCTCCTAATTGTGGCACACAATGAAAATCTAATTTCATTCATCCCTAGTGTTTCAGTGAATGCTCCTTCCCCTCCGTCGTTGTGGGTGTACTATCCGTACTCCGTACTGCCGTCTAACGCAGCCTTGCAATCTAGATTTTAAATTTTGCTTGAAAATGGCGAGCACTCACCTGACCACGCTGACCAATAAGAAGCACTTCTCAAGACAGCAGCAGGTGGTATGGATAGTACACCAGCACTGGTGAAGGGGAAGAAGCCCTGTAGCGGGGGGGGGGGCAGATTGGAGGGGGGTAATTTCATTTTCACAAATTCTCCTAGAAAAGTAGAATTATCCTTTAGCCCTACTCTCCTGGCACATAGAAAAATAATAATAACACACAAATAAGTATCTTTATTTCTGGGAATTTTAGTGCATGTTCAGGGTGGCTTTGCAATGCAGGGTGATGCATGATCCATGGTGGAGTGACTTCCTCTTATTTTGAATGGCACTCCAATGCAGTTTGCCAGTGCACCTCAACCCACAGTGCATAACAACAAAAGGTTCAGATTTGGTTGTAGGTGCCTTGTGGAACATTGGTAGCCCATTCATATGAATGGTCTGCCGTAATGCAATGCACATTGGTACCCAGAGCACTGCATGTTAATGTAACACACTGCAACAGTGTGAAGGGGACCTTAAACTGTACTTATAGGCAAAAATAAAAGAATGACATTGAGTTTATTTCTCAGAGTCCCCACCCAATTACATAGCTGTGTTACCTGTTGATCCTGCCAGTAGATCCGTTATTTTTCCAGTAACTGTAACAGGCTAAGCTGTCCAGCAAAAGGGGCAGTCCCATTGAAGGCCCACTGACACTTGGCCATTGCAGAAACCTATGTTAAAACACATGCATGACAACGTACCTGCTCTATATGTGGTGCATTGTGGTGCCGCAGATTATGAATGGCACTCTAACACATTGTATAGTAGAGCACAAAACACCACAGATCATCACAACATACATACTGTGTGTTGAAGTGCATTGCATTGCCAAAATAAGGTCATGGTCTTATTTTTATGAATTATGGCAGTTCTTTTATAATGAATAGGCTGACTAAACGCAACACACATTAACACATGCCATAATGTGATTTAACGCACCACAACAAAAATAAGTGTGAAGGTCCCTAACAGAAAGTCCCAGTCTCAGCTGCTGATTGGTCAGAACAGCTGTCAATTAACCAGCAAGTGGCTGCTCGTTACCGGGCTGGAGGTGTTTGGCGTTGTCGTGTTGAAGAATTGTTTCATTTCTGTTTTTCTCATGTTGTTCTTGCAGACTCTCTTGAAAAAGGAAAACCATAAACTCTGAATATTGTATTGAAACTCTTACTGCATTAAAAAGAAGAAGCAAATGGATTGGAATAAGAAATTAAACACTTCTGTAACACAACAACGCCAGGCCTCACACAAGAGCAGAAACAAGAGATGCAATTTAACGCCTGGACTTTTCAGTGCTCCCGTATGCACTGTACATCCCAGACCTGGCTCTTAATGATTTCCACCTATTCCCAAAACTAAAGGAACACTTGATGGGCCAGCGCCTCAACCGGGGATGAAGAGATGAAGTCCCTTGTGCGTATCTGTGCCTTTAAGGGAGGTTGAGCTTCCTCCTGACAAACCTGCACCCAATTTAATCTTTTGCCCCATGTGCTCCAATATGGAGACTCTCATAGTTTAGAGTTAGGACCGCACTATATGGAGGTGCCTTGACGTGGCTGTGCGGCTTTCACATTTTCTGCAGAAGACGTGTATCTAAACCTCTGCTTTTAACCTTAGTGGTTAGACAGGTTTTTTGCATGCTGGCTGGTGAGTGTGCCTGGAAACTTTTTGATGTTTTACTGTTTGAAGCCCTTCCGTGTGTACCTTGCTGTAAAGCTGGTAACGAATTGATGAGTGGGTTTGCCATTTGTTTTGCTTGACTGATTTGGTGCAGTGACGCATGGGGGGTCTCAACTGCCGTTGTGATGTGCGGGGTCCCTTGTGCGTATCTGTGCCTTTAAGGGAGGTTGAGTTTCCTCCTGACAAACCTGCACCCAATTTAATCTTTTGCCCCATGTGCTCCAAGATGGGGACTCTCACAGTTTAGAGTTAGGACCGCACTATATGAAGGTGCCTTGACGTTGCTGTGTGGCTTTCACATTTTCTGCTGAAGACGTGTATCTAAACCTCTGCTTTTAACCTTAGTGGTTAGACAGGTTTTTTTGCAGGCTGGCTGGTGAGTGTGCCTGGAAACTTTTTGCTGTATTACAAGACACCCAGCTTCCTGATTGGCCAGAAAGCCGTCTCCATGCTTCCTCAAACCTGGTGACGAGGGAGCATAGAGACAGCTGTCCTGCTAATCGGGAAGCCGGATGGCGAGTCTTTACACGCCGCCCGGCTTCCTGACTAATCAGGAATCCAGGTGGCGATTCTTTACATGCCGCCTGGCTTCCTTAATGGGACTTCCGGTATCAGTATTCCGGAATCGGCAAGTACCGAAAAAAAAAATATCAGTACTCGTACTCCATACCGAAGAAACGGTATCAGTGCATCCTTCGTATTTTTTATTTTATTAAATATCTTTCATTCATTGTCTATTTAAGTGGAGGCAAATTTTTTTCTGCCTGCCCTCGTAGTTAAATAAAAGATTTTCTAAGATATCCATATGGTTATTTTAAAGGCAACATCTAGGAATGTTAATTATGCCTTAGCTGTACAGTAAAGTCAATTTGCTATTTTTTTGGAATTTCTTGAAAAATAGCTGTGCACTTCCTGTTCTGCGAGGGTGCCTAGGCACTCTTGTGCCTACAGACTTATAGCTGAGTATTTGAAGAGAGATATCTAAGGCACTGTGACTCTTACTGCTAGCCTTAGAAGATTATAATGAGATTTGGTATTATTGTACTATTGTGCTGCTC